TTCTGTCTGGTTAATCTGTCCTTCAGTGTTAGTGGAGTGTTGAAGTCTCCTAGAATGAATGCATTGCATTCTATTTCACCTTTTAATTCTGTTAGTATTTGTTTCACAAATGTAGGTGCTCCTCTGTTGGGCTTATAGATATTTATAATGGTTATGTCTTCTTGTTGGACTGACCCTTTTATCATTATGTAATGTTCTTCTGTGTCCCTTGTGACTTTCTTTGTTTTCAAGTCTATTTTGTCTGATACAAGCACTGCAACTCCTGCTTTTCTCTCCCTGTTAGTTGCACGAAATATCTTTTTCCATCCCTTCACTTTTAGTCTGGGTATGTCTTTGGGTTTAAAGTGAGTCTCTTGTAGGAAGCATGTAGATCGGTCTTGTTTTTTTATCCATTCAGTGAATCTATGTCTTTTGATTGGTGCATTCGGTCCATTTATATTTAGGGTGATTATCGATAGGTATGTAGTTATTGCCATTGCAGGCTTTAGATTCGTGGTTACCAAAGGTTTAAGGTTAACTTCTTTATTATCTAAGATTCTAACTTAACTCACTTAATATGATATTACAGACACAATTTAAAGGTTCTTTTTTTTCCTCCTCCTTTTTCTTCCTCTTCCATTCTTTATATATTAGGTATCATATTCTGTACTCTTTTGTCTATCCCTTGATTGACTTTGAGAATAGTCAATTTAATTTTGCATTTGCTTACTAATTCACTGTTTTACTTTCTTTACTGTGGTTTCATTGCCTTTGGTGACAGCTATTAAACCTTAGGAACACTTCCATCTAAAGCAGTCCCTCTAAAATAGACTGTAGAGATGATTTGTGGGAGGTAAATTCTCTCAGTTTTTGCTTATGTGGAAATTATTTAATCCTTCCTTCAAATTTAAATGATAATCTTATTTGATAAAGTAATCTTGGTTGGAGGCCCTTCTGCTTCATTGCATTAAATACATCATTTCACTCCTTTCTGGCCTATAAGGTTTTTGCTGAGAAGTCTGATGATAGCCTGATGGGCTTTCCTTTGTATATGATCTTATTTCTCTCTCTGGCTGCTTTTAATAGTCTGTCCTTATCCTTGATCTTTGCCATTTTAATTACTATATGTCTTGGTGTTGTCTTCCTTGGGTCCCTTGTGTTGGGAGATCTGTGTACCTCCATGGCCTGAGAGATGATCTCCTTCTCCAGACTGGGGAAGTTTTCACCAATTACCTCCTCAAAGACACTTTCTATCCTTTTTTCTCTCTCTTCTTCTTCTGGTACCCCTATAATGCAAATATTGTTCTGTTTGGATTGGTCACACAGTTTTCTCAATATTCTTTCATTCCTAGAGATCCTTCTTTCTCTCTGTGCCTCAGCTTCTTTATATTCCTCTTCTCTAGTTTCTGTTTCATTTATCATCTCCTCCACTGTTTCTCATCTGCTTTTAATACCCTCCATTGTGCTCTTCAATGATTGGATCTCCGACCTGAATCCATTCCTAAGTTCTTGAATATCTTTCCATACCTCCATGAACATGGTAATGATTTTTATTTTGAATTCTGTTTCAGGAAGTTTCATGATGTCTATGTCATTTTAGTCTTTCTCAGTAGTTGTATTAATAATTTTACTTTGAACTGTCCCTTTGGCATTTCATGTTTGTATATGGCATCCTCTTGTGCCCAGAGGCTCTACTCTTTGGACCTGCTCAGCCCCTGAAGCAATGTCAGGGGCCACAGGGGAGTGGTATTGGTGCCTGGGGGGAGGAAAGAACTGTTTCCTGCTTCTCAGCTGCTATTCCTGTCTTCACTGCCTCAGCCAGTGGGCCGAGCACACAGGTATAATCCTCTATGCCTTGCATTTGTAGTTGCTGTAGACAGATCTTCCCTCTGGCTGGCCTAACACCAGGGTAGGGTTTGCCAGTTCGTGAGCCAGGTGGGGCTGGCTGGGATAAAGTTGCAGTAGGCTGCATATGATGGAGGGGATCCTTGGCGCTGTGCAGCCAGCCAGGGAGCTGGAGTGCTTGAAGATCGTAAAAGTTTCCAACCTGCTGCACAGAGTGCACCCAGACAATTTTGTCTACCTGTCCTTTCTCCTGAGCAGTAAGGTCTATGCAATCCTTACCCCTTTAGCAGCCCTCTTGCTAAGGCCTTCATTGTTATGAAGTTTCTCAGACTGCCTGCCTTTCTTTAGTTCCAGAGCAGCCAGATATGGATCCCTGCTTTCCACAAGCAGCTGGATTCTCAGTATCTACAGGAATTCTGCCTGTCTTAGCTTTCCAACTCCCCAATCATGACATAAAATTATTTCTTTATTCTTGAAGCTCTAAAACTGCGAGAGTTCTCCCCATTTCTTCTCTGTCCTTTCTCTTGGTATTGTGCCTTTGTCTTTCTCCACTTATCTCTTTTCCTTTAGCATTGTTTGTATGTTCTTCAGAACTCAGTTTGAATTCACAAGCTATAAAAACTTCACCTTGACTGGCTTAGCTGTCTCTTTCCCTTCAATTCTGCAGTATTAGACTTTGCCCCTTTCATGGCACAGTTTGAAAGACTTCTCCTTTATGAGATTTAAGAAATCATATCAAGGGATGTCTAGTCTTCCCAACAACTAGACCATTGCAATCCAAAGTATGAAAATGTGTGTTCCCAGGATTCAACTCCCAAGAGCTTGTACAGGTGGTAAATTCACCACGTCACTAACACACATGTTCAGTTCACCCAATTTTTTTTCATAAAAAGACTTTGCTGAGGAAGGAACGAGTGCAAGTTTTATTCATTGTAAAGTGACACTTTAATAGCACTGAACTAGACTCTAAGGATGTCAGTGGCCACTATCTCTTTTGCCAGTCATGAGGGAGAGGTGGAGTGCCTGGTTGTGAGGGGTGAGAAGACTGGTTCATGTAAGTGGCGATATTCGCTAAGAGGCCACAGTTTCTGAGTGAGTACTCAGTGTGCATTAAGACCTGCTTTATGCGGATTGCATGAAGGGCCTCCTTGAACCTCACAGTGACCCTCTGTGGGTGATTAGGCTTAACCTCTTCCACTCTCTCTGCTCCTCCCTGTGGGATAGCTCACTAGGTCTTATTATGCCAGTCCCCTTGCAAGGACACTAGCCTTTATCCACAGCTTTGTTGATTCAAACACAAAGTCTGATACTTTTCTCTGTTATTTTTCTCCCTAGTTACATAGGCTTAAGAGCAATTTAGCAATCCCATGAGCTGACAAGATGTCCAGCCAGGGAATGAGATGCCTGTCTGTATTTGTTTGCTCAGGCTGCCATGGCAAAATACTATACCTGTACTTCTGAAGGCTGAAGTCAGGATCAAGCTGCCGGCCAATTCAGTTTGCTGGCGAGGACAGTCTTCCTGGCTTCTTGCCTTCATGTGGTGGAGAGAGGAGACACAAGCCCTCTGGTGTCTTTTCTTATAAAGGCACTAATCCTGTCATGAGCCCACCCTCATGACCTCATTTAACCATAATTACTTCCCAACAGTCACACTAGGGGTGAGGGCTTCAACACACACATTTTGGGAAGACAAGTCAGTCCAGAGCAGCATCTGCCTTGTCCCACAGCACTTCCCTCCATACCTCCAGCTGGCGATTCCCGCCACCACCTTTCCATGCCCTTCCTGGTGTTTTGGTCCTCTGTATTTGATCAGGGCTAGGATCTTGGGGGTGGAATTGGTGGTTTAGACATAGTGGAAGTAGTAAGGGTTTGCCTACCTCTGAGTTAGCCCTGGAGTGGTGTCTAGACCTAGCTAAAAATTTACCTTTAGAATGAGGGACAACTTAATGACTTCTTTATCCCCCAACATGGGGTTCTAGTCATCAATTCCAAGGCAAGAGTAAAGCCACAGTCAAAATCCTATTAGAATACCATTCCTTACCTACTGTCTTGAATTTGAGCCTTTGCAAGCAGCATTCCCTTTGTTAGAGTAGTAGTAGTACTCACTCATTCCGAGGAAGGCCAGCTCACATGCCACCCTCTCACTGAAGTCTCTCCATGTCCCTTATCTTCCTCATCTCTACAGTATTAATTGCCTCACACTCTGTTTTTAAGTGGGGCTTTCTTCATACTTCTATAAAACACTAAGAGCATTCATTAGTTGTTTGCAGTTTTCTCCCCCCAACTGGTTGGTGAATTCCTTAAGGATTAAAAGCAGTTATTAGAGCATCTAGTAAAGATACTTATACACAGTATGTTTTGAGTGAATATTTTTAAATAAATAGTTCAAGAAGGTGCCAGAGTACAGGCATGCAAATAGATTGGCTACACTTTTGGACTTAAAACTATATTAAAGATTTACTAAATCATGAATAGTCCAAAGTAAGATTATATAGATTTTTAAAAATTATTCTAATTAATATAAGTATCCTTTATATCACAGACCATACTGAACTTGTTGAAGATGTTTTCTGATTTATTTTTTAAATTAGGAATTGTGCTACTTACCTTTCTAAAATGGCATAAATAAGTTAGACTACTTTTTCTAAAACGGGAAATATACTACTTTAAACTCTAATCTTTTGGCATATTCAAACTCCTTCAAATTATATATCACTTGAAAATTTGATGTTATAATGTTGTGTTTCACTACTGAGTGTCTGAGTGGAGATTTTGCCACTCTATGTTTGCAACTTATCTCCTTTAGAGTTGGTCAGTAACTTGACATCAAATCCATGAATACTTTGGACAGCATGTTTGTTTTGTGCTATGTGTTGGGAAAATTGAAAAATGTTTTACTAGAGTATTGTATGAGATGTTACCATTTATTTTCAATGATACATGATTATTTGATTTCCAAAATGAAGTAAGTATAGTCAACATGGATGTTAGTTAAATTATGGAGAAATCTGAAGATTTTAGGAAAGAATAATAAAAATAATAAAATCCTATTGACTTTTGAAGCTTTCTCTACCTGAGTCTTCCTGTCTTTTCTAGCATGATCATCAAACCAAGGAAGGGAGGATTATTCAATATGTAATTTTTTATTTTTTTATCCCTACATTTGACTCTCACAGCATCTGTTCCTACCTACGGCCACCTGGCTCTTAAAGCAATGTCCCGTCATGTGCCATGCTGCTGATGTCACAGGAAGCAAAGTCGGTGTTAGCACATAGCCAGCCTACAGGAGGTTGTGTAAGTAAGGCTTTAAGAATTATGACATGCAGTTGAGACCTTTTATGTAATAATGTAATTAATAATAAGGAGGGTGTGCAAAACAGGTGAGGTTACATGTATACTCAGAATTTTCCAAATGAACATCTTGGTTAAAAAAGAAAATGCCCTTTGTCATCAAATGTTTAACACATTTTCTGAGGGCAAAGAGCATTACACAAAACAGAGGTGAGCAATTTTTTCTTTTGGAAAGAGCCAGATAGTAAAAATTTAAGGCTTTGCAAGCCAAATGATCTCTGTCACAGCTACTCAATTTTGCTTTTCCTACTGGAAAGCAGCTATAGACAGGGATGGGCTTGGCTCTAATCTGATAAAACTTTATTTACAAAACAGATGGCAGGTAATTTTGGCCTGTGGGTCAATCTGCCAACCCTCAGATGTTAACTTAGTCCTTTAGAAAAAAATCCTGCAGTATGTGTATAAATCAGGATAAACAGTAGAGTAAGTAAAGAAGTTTGTGAGAACTGAATCCTGCAAGGATGTTAAGAGGAAAAAGGCAAATTCCTCTCTTGCATGATCGTTTCTGGCATCAGAAAATAATAAAGGAAACATGAATTGAAAGAAAAAGCATGAAAGAGCATGCCCTTTTCCTGTAATGACCCACAAAGTAAAAGTTATTGTCTGACTTTGTATGCTTCCTTGAAACTGCTCTGTTTCCTAGAATTTCTATTAAGAATTCCCCAATCTCAAGAAACAACTTTCTGACCATCTTAGGGATAAACACACATTAGGTGTTTGCTAGCTCTGAAGCCTCAAAGAAGCAGCAGGAGGGCATTTTAGATGTTGAAGGATAGAACCTGAAAATTTTTACAATAGAACATAGCTTTGAATTGTTTTGTCACTGAGTTATTTATGAAAATGAATAAATATTATTTCTTAAAAACTCCATTATGATTAATTTGGGGCAAAAAAAAAGAGGGAATTTTTTTTTAATGATATCATCCTGAAAATATGCAAGGACTTGAAAAGGAATCTCCTGTCAGTTGTAATGAAGTCAAAAGAAAAGTGTTAGGTGCTGTCTGTTACAGAGTTCTCCTTGATTCCTGGATTTTTAGTTACTGCTTCCGTTGGGGTACTCAAAGCAGAGGAACTTTAATCTGCGTATTTTGTAGTAGCCCATAATAGCTGTTTTTGTCTGCTGTGAGGGTAGGTTGAGAATATAGGCAAGGTGGAATCAAATACTTCATGTATCTCTTCCAATTTGCACTGTAGAAATCAAGTGTAACCTGTTCCTTAGTACGCACCAGGGTTATTGTAACCAGGACCCAGAAAGACCCTTCTCTGGAGGATGTTTCCTTGAAGGTAGCTTTTTGGGGGGCAAGTGATTGGGAAGCATAGCAGGCTCTATCGTAAAGAAATGTGGCTGCAATGACATTTGTGCAAATCTCAACTCACTTGTAGTGTTTACCATGATTTTCTTTGTTTTTTTGATCTTCTTTTATCTATTCTGAGAATAAATGTATTTATAAAGCTGAATGTGAGTTTAGACTTGGTTGCCAGGGATCTCATCTGGGCATGCTTTGCTCAAAGCCCACCTCATCTTTTATTTTGGCTGGGGCTGCAACTTATGGCCTCAAGTAGCCTTGAGGCCCCGTCTTTAAATCAACTTGTTTCAAGCTTTTAGTTTAAATTTCTTATATTTTTCTAATTATCAAAGAGATCATTATAGTAAGAGTGGAAACTACAGAAAAGTATTAAGAGGGAAAAATAATACCAATTATGCAAGAGACAACTTGTTGCTTGATTCGTTCCAGGATTATTTCTTTCTGTATGGTTGATACAAAAAGACTGAAGATTTGCCTTGTAGTTTTGTTATGTTAACAGCAAACTCTGACATTTCCCTGTGACATTACATAAGTAAATATTGCTTTTGATATGTATATAAAATTCCAATTTAAAATGTGTCACAATCCATTTAGATTTCATTAGTTTGTGGTTATTAAAAACAATATTTCAGCAAATATATTTTTGAATGAATGTCCAGATTTCTGAAAACTTTGCCAAGAAAATTTCCCAGGAGGAGAATTAAGGTGTCTGTCATTACAACTATTTGAGTGATGCTCAACACATAATCCAGAAAATATGTATAAATTTACATTTTTGTCATCTCTTTGTGAGTGTTGGTGACATCACACCCTCATCAGCGGTGACATTTATCAGTTCTACAACAATTCCTCTGGGTTTCATGATGAAGAGGACAGCAGTTTGGGGCTATTGGGGACCATACAGAGTGGGATTGAGGGAGACCCACAAACTAAGTCTATAGCAAAACCCAGAGACAGTGAAAAGCCGTAAAGTCCAAACAGGTGTCACTATAGGCAGAGACAACTCTGGCCAGGAATCCCTGCTGGAGTGACACAGGGGGAGACATGTAAGGAACCAGTGGTAACAGAAGTCAGTGATCACTTGCAGATAAGTACTCTGAGGCAGAAAGAACCAAGCTCCAACAGGAAGTCAGTGCTGGGAGAAATAGAAAAAGATTCTTTATCCCGAAAAGCGTGTCTTTCAAAAAGGGGGAAAATGCGTTAGAAGGAAGAGGCTGTGTCCCTGAGTGGCAGTTTTTAGTGACCAAGCTGGAATTTCTCAGAAAAGGTGCGAGGCTGCCTCTTATAGGCTCTGATGGGCTTCGAAGGGCCATCCTGACAGGTGGAGTCATGCCCCTGCCCACACCATGGGTTTCTTGTTTGGGCTTTCTTCCTGACACAGAAAGGTGGACGAGTTAATGGGCTGAGTGTCTAATCTTTGACACTCAGGAGCTGGTAATAAGTCCTTGCCCTTCTCTCTGCCTGAGGGTGAGGACTTAAGTAGCAGGGTGTATGTATGGCTGTCTACCCTCCAAAGCGGCCAGCTTGCTAACTCCGCTCTGCTGGCATTCAGCTCTCTCTCCTTTCCCATTCTCACTTCCTCCTGTTTTCCTGGAATTGTACTTCTTAATAGAACACTTTTTCTGTGTCTAATGATAATGGCATATCTTTATTGTTTGCTTGATTTCCACTGGGATTTCTCCTCTGATTCATGAGCTATTCAAAAATGTATTGCTTAATTCTCAAGCAATTGAAAATTCCCTCATGCTTTTGTTACTGAGTTCACAGCCAGAATTCTGTCAGAAAATAATCATTGAATAATTTCATTCCTTTCAATTTTGTAACGACTTCCTATGTGGCCCAACATATGGTCAACTTTGGCACATATTCCAGTAGTACTGAAAAAGTGTGAATTTTGTCATTGTTGGTACAATCACCATACATGATAGGTAGATCAAGTTTATTCATGATTTTTTCAGACCTTTCTATCCTTCTGGAATTTTTCCTTTATTGTTGCTCTGTTAGCTTTTGAGAGAGATATTTTAAAATCACCCACCATAATGTGAATTTGCCTATTTCTCCTTTCTCTAGTTCTGTTCATTGTGATTTATAAAATTTAAAGCCATGTCCCTAAGAGGCAGTCTTTTGGATTGTGTTGGTAGATCAATCTCTTCCATGGGTGTGAAATAGCCCCTGTCTTTCTAATAAAGTTTCTTGCCTTGAAGTATGGCTTTTCCAATGTTAATATAACTACCCCAGGTTATTTATTGTTTGCATCATATTTATTTTCCCTTCTATTTACTTTCAGCCTATCTTTGTTCTTCTATTACAGATGTGTCTTTTGTAAACAGCAAGTAGCTGTGCTTCATGTTTTTGTGTAGTCATTTTCATCGAGTATTTAGTCCATTTTCATGTAACATAATTACTGATATAGTTGTGTCTGTCTCTACCATCTTTTCTTTTGTATTCGACATCTCTTTATGTAGCTTTTTCCTCCTTTCTTGCTTTTATTTGGATTAGTCAACTTTCTATCATCCTTTTTTCCTCTATTAATTGTTAATTAATATTATTTTACTCTTCTTTTGTTAGCTTATTATTATAACATGTGTTTTCAAGTTGTTACCCTAGATACTAGTTGTTACTTAGATATGACAACATGCATTATTTGTGTATTGCATATTATCTAATGGTTAATTTAAGAAGAGATCATTTCAGTATAATGTAACCCCTTCCAGAGGGATATAAACTTCAAGTTATTTTCATGAGGTGAGAATATCATTGACACCTAAGCTTGGTTAAAATTTCACAAGTAGAAAAGTATTCCCAATTTGATTTATGAATGTCAATTCAAAGCTCTTCAAAAAAACTATTAGCAGAAAGAATCCAGCAACTGATTAAAAGAGTAGTATATTATGATGTAGTAGGATTCATTCTAGGAATGAAAGATTATGAGCTCTATTACAATAATTGATCATGTTAGTTAGTCTAAGGGGAAAAGTCATATGTTATATCTATAGATACTGAATATTCATTTGACAAAATTCAACAGCCATTGTAAATGTTTACAGAAAAAGAGACAGCTCAATGAAGTAAGAGTTGAATATCTTATAATCAGAGCGAACTATGTGCTCACCCATACACGCACACGCAAATTCAGCCCAAAGACAGCATCATAAGTAGTGGCAAAATGTTAGAGCACTTCTGTTATTTCTGCTAAAAGTACAAAGAAAGATAAGGGTACACCACTACTAGTGATGCTATACCAGAGTTATTAGTCAACAAAGCTAGACAAGAGAAAGAAATTCAAAGTATAAAATTTTAAAAAGGTGGAAGCAAAACTGTTATTTGTAGATGAGTTAAGACTTAGAAAACCCCAAAGAATATAACTAAAAAAAATTTCTATGACCCAATTCTAGCATGTAAAAGAGAGAAAAAAAAAGATAAATTTGACTCATTAAAAAGAAACCCATTGGTTGTCCAAAAAACAGAGAAACAGACAAAAAGGCAAGTACTATGAGGAAATTCAAAAGAGAATGATAAATTGGGAAAAAACATTTGCCTCTCAAATCACCCAGAGTTTTCTGTCTAATATATGTTAGAAATTGTGGGGGGTATAAGAATGTACCAACCAACAGAATGATGGGCACAGATCATGAG